CCTACTGCAAAAATAAATCCCTGCCGAAAAAACATCAAGTTACAGTAGCATACCGAGAATCGGCAGTCTTTTATGTCGTAGAGACTTGGAAGTAGAGTAACATGTACTTTGTAACACCTACAGCGTGAATCGCAGGTATCTGTTGATTGAAATGTTTTTTTTACAATACGGAATTGCCAAATTCCGTACTCTAAATTTCATGCATGCACGACATATTGTGCAGTATAATCACGCATGCAGAGCCAAATATCGATTTAGAGCAGTATTTTGGACAAACATTGCCTCTGCCTACAATAATAAAACCATGTTTTGAATGCGCCAGAGCGGAGTTAATGTAAATATCAAATGATGTCAAATAATGTAAATATCAAAGCAGAATTCGCTATTCTTAGTGCATCAAAAACAGTGCATCCGTCTGTAAGTTTCTGACAAAAACAACTCTCTGGACTGTGATACTGCAGCTACATGTCCTGTTATCCTCGAATGACCCTAATGGAAAATTGTTTGAGCGCTCGAGCATCAAAATACTAGTACCTTCAAATACTACTTCATCCACGATGTAAGTTTATCCATTATCACTATCAAATTGCATTGCCATAACTAGACACCGTACATTGGAATTACCGTAGAGCAGCAAGGCAACCTAGTCCAAAATTTAATCATCCCAACTTAATGACCATAGAAGTTTGATAAACTGTCTGAGCAATACAGGGAGGTAGTGGTGAAGTAGACATAGAGTAATGTTAAGTGCCGTACTTTTTAACACCACAAGATATAAAGTTGTAGAAATGTTTTGAATTTTCTAGTCACTGTGGACTTGAAAAATTCACTACACCAAAATTGATACATGTCCGTCCTGTTGTGCGGTATGCTCACATATGCATCGCCAAATATCGATCTAGAGCAATATTTCACAAAGATAATCCTGTCAGACGGACACGCTAATATGTTGACAACAATAATAAAACCATGTTTTGAATCCGCCAGAGCGGATCAAGAGATGTCTACAGACAAGCACAATTAGCTATTCTCAGTAGATTGGAAACATGCTTGAGACATGCTTGAGACAAGAACAACTTTCAAGACGGTCAGCTACATATCATTCCCTGTTGTTCCTAAGTTAATGATCCTAGAGGCTTGATAAACGTAACTTTCAGGGCAATACAAGGGGGTATACGTAACGAATGTTACAACTGCTATAGCAGATACTAGATATACTAGATACTCATTTTACCACCATTTACAAGTAGCATGCACAGTAGAGGTTAGGTTGGGGAGGCTGGTGTAGGCTAGTATGTAAAATCAATATTAGTCATTATCGTCGTATCGTACTGACATATATAGAGTTTTCAAACTCTATCCAGTGAGTAACAATTTCTTTGTGTATTATAGTAGCATTTTTTTTTACCTTCAGCAATGGTTCTATTTACCAGAGGCATACAGTGTATCAAAGAATTTGAGATGTCTTGTTTGGCCATTATCAATATCCGCGATGAAATAAAAAAAAGCAAGACATCACTGTATACTGTATACTTAATGTTAAACTTTATGTTTAAAGTTTATAAAAAAAACCTATCAGACTGACAGCCATATTGTGTGTGGGGAACTTTGTGGCAAACGCACTTGTTGGAACTTTACTAATACTGATAGTCATACCGAGGTACGTGGTATCCGTACCCGTGGATGACCTTTCAGCTCGAGAAAATACCCAGTGTGCAGTGTTCGTGTCTAGCTACGTCGCGCTACAGGCTGACGTTGCCATGGATACATCTATTTTTAAACACGGAGCTGAACAAGAGAAAGGATGCTATTGGTTATTGCCACGTATGCAATCCTCTCCCCGGTTTGGATAAAGTCCTGGTGGAAAGTGAGCTAGCCCAGAACAGATCTGACACCCAAGGACCACTGACAGCCCGGCAGACAAGCCGCACAGGTCGACACGTCCTCAGTCTTCTTACAGACTCTTCAGTCACAGTAAAACAGTTGACGACACAAAGTGTGTCTCAAGTTAGGCAATATTTCATCATCAGTCCAGAAACGTACAGCGAAGAGATATCCATGGTGAGTTCTTTTTTTTTCTAGATAAATGTAAGCTGTGAATTTATTTATTTGGTGTGTTTTCAGGGGCTTGCTACTCTTATACAAAGACTAGTACAAAGTAATTATTGTCAATTTTACTGTAATTTAAATGAGATTGAAGACGAGAGTCATTTTATTGTGGACTGTACTCTATATATAATAATAAGAGAAAGATTCTCTTCAATTGTATACAAGATTATTCCCCTACCTTTAGATTTTTAGATAGAAAGGAAAAATTCACTTTCCTCATGAAACGCGATAATCCTCGTACTATACACTCCATATGTTCTTATATTTACAACTGTTTTAAAAAGCGAGAAGAAGCAGAACCTGTACATATGTAGTTTTACTATAGATATATTTTAGTCTACCATCGCTATTTACCATGACCTGTACTTAGTTCGAAACGAGCAAAAATGTACAATAAAGGTCTTATTTTATAAGTTCATCTGCCGTCCAGCCTTAAAACATTTAATTGAACCTGGAGATAGATGCATGGTATGATTTAAAATCTTAAACAAGCCGCACAGAGCTCGTTCTCTTTGAAATGTAGTACAGAATTGATGATTTTTAGGGTCGAAAAATTGATGAGCTGTTTTTTTCAGGAACATCTGAATTTCTTAGAAAAACAGCTCAATTTATGATTACCGAAAATGACAGATTGTCATAGGAAGTTACCGAAAATGAATGGACTTTGATAAAATATATGAAAACAATGCAATTTTTGGTGCGGCAGAAACACTAGAACATCAGAATATGAGCCAGATGTATGAAAGAAATTGTATTCATGACATAACCTCAAAAGCCACCAGTTTAGGCGTTAGTATCTACGTATGGAAGTGCTTCTGTGAGTCCATTATATACTGATACATATACACGTATCGAATACATAAAGATAACGGTTGTGTATAGAAGTAGCGAAAAAAATTAACTTTGGAAGCAAAATCTCAAAGAAGGGTAGAATATTTGAGTCTGATAACACCACTGAGGGTTATTTTCCTTTGGAAGCATATTTCTTTTTTCTACTTTATTTCCGACTGTTATGTTTATGGTGCACAGGAAAAGGAAATTAGATCCCTCGTTATGTCTTTTCGGCTACAGGTGTACGAGTATTACAACACAGACTTTTTTGCTTTTTTTCTCCTAAAAGGTCTACAGTTTTTAGCTTCATCTTTTAGGAGCAAGGGAGCATAAGTGTAGACATTTAAAAACCGGGGAAGTTTTTCATATACTAGGTGAAGTAACGTACATGGACAGTAATAAACAACGGTAACGGAGGTTACAGCCATTACTGTAAAACATTTTGTTCAGCAAGGTTGGCTACAAAAGACAGCAAACTCCTTTTTTCTCCTCTTAGAAACCCAAAAAATTTTTTGTCTTTTATGCGGCTCCATCTAGACCGTCTTACTTGAGCGGTAAAGGAGGTTACAGAAGTTGGAGACAGGTATGAAACACCTCGCACGGCGTACAAGAATAGTGACAGGAGCGATCTGACTTGATTAGTCAGAGGGACTGACTATCCGGCTTCAACAGCCATCAAACTATTGTCGTAATAAAATTTAGGCTACTTTTTGTAGTTTTATTTCTTCTCTGGAGACAGCCACTTTTGAGGGAGAGAAATCCAACCCGTGACCATCAATCAAACCTAGTGCTGTGGTACATTTTTCGTGAAACATAGTCAGTGTAGTGGGAAAGTGAAGAAAGCAATGATGAGGTCCATAATTTGGCTCTTATCTAGTCGTAAAGAGTGGCGACACCATTTTGTACATTTGAATGAGAATGAGTGACGTTCTCACTCAAATGTACAAAATCTCACTCAGTAAAGAATGTGTTGACGGCACATAGTGGGTCCAAAATTTGTTAATATTTTACCAACAGTCCAGAAACGTACAGCGAAGGGATATCCATGGTGAGTTCTGACTTATTTCTAAATGTAAGCAGTGAATGTGCTCAGTGTTATATTATTGCTGTTATTTTGCCTCTGTGTAATCCGAGCCGGTAAGTCACTCCTTCTGTGGATCGATAATGTAAATGAGTCATACTTTCTATGAATATGTATACCATAACTGACATGCTGCGACCTGTAAACAGGATGCGTCTAGATTTGTATCTACGCTGCAACGCCGGAGAGAACATTGTCAGCACCTCCATATAGACTCTCATTCTCATGTAATAGCATTGATCTTATCTGCCTTCTAGTATCGTGTGGTATGAATTCAGAGATACCCCTAGTCCGTACAGGTATTTTTTCCTAGCTAGGAGGAATATGATGTTGTGATATTACTGGTCGTCATGCTGATATTCCAGATGGAGAAACAATTCCAGCACCAAACAGAGCAAACAGACTTGTTGTACCAGTATTTTTTCCTTGCTAGGAAGAATATAACATTGTGATATGACTGGTCTTTATACTGATATTCCAGATGGCCAGGGACAGGCAATTCCTCTTCTGTTTGGTGCTTTTGACAATACCAGCACTGACAGTCCAAAGTAAGGTTTAATTCCTGTACATGTTAGAGTATATAGTATATACTGAGTGTATCAATGATAACATGGGTGTTCTCTCATGTTTATTTTTTTTCCTCCATGTTGATCAAAACTAAAAATGCTAAGAATTTCATTTTAATGTCAGATGATGCGAAATTCATTTTTGGTGGATATATGTAAATTGAATATACGCTCATCAGCTGTTTGATTTATTCACTTCTGAAGGATTTTGTCAATGTATTTTTAGCCCCAAAATATTCTGGGCTGGAAACAGCTAGGGTCATGGAACTTGGTAAGGTCCACACTATGTTGTGAAAAGATTATACGTCTTGGCCATACTCATCCCAAATTTTCAATTATTTGCGGCCAAACAGTTTGGTAATGCCTTATCAAAACTCTGACACTATTTGTTTATTTGATACACCTGTGTTGCAGCGTGCCCTGATGGGTACAACGAGGTAGACGGGAGATGCTTCTTTATCTCTGACGTGGAGAGAAGCTTCGAAAACGCAAAGTACGACTGTATGTACAGGGGTGGGTCCCTAGTTGTGATCGATGACGCGGAAGACAGGGAAGACGCTATGGAGGGAAGTAGTGGACCTGTGCCGTAAGTTTCCTCATATCTCATTTTAAACATAAATATTAAACTTTTGATTAAGAAATGAATGAAAATATAGATTGTTAGACTTAGAGACAATGCATAAAATGCATTCAGACCACAAACTCACTTTTACTTGGCCAGTTGTGGGCCAAAAGGGAGTGATGTTTTGGCCGTCTGAAATCTTCTGAATTGACGATTGATAGAACTCGGCTCACTCTGTAATCATATGGCAGGCACCAGAGAACACCATTTACAATCACAGTCATGTTTCAGATCCAGTCAATATCACGTATGTTCTTTCTTTTTTAATAGATACTGGATCAGTCGGGAAAGTGAAGATGTGGATTTCTACAGCGAACCTGAGTAGGAGACAAATTTCACTTCTTAACCTTAATGCATTTAATTGTGCTTCAGTTTTTCTTGAGTCGTCGCTACATTAAGAATGATCAACAATGTTTTTTTTCTTTCCAGGGACGAGAACTGCTACATCTGTGAAGCCCCGCCGGGTAAGTCGGAGCGTTATTTTTCATGAAGGAGACAATGATTTTTGAATGAGAAAGAAGAAGTATTATGTGTACCTGAGTGTGTGTATGTATGTATGTGTGTGGGCGCGCGCGTGTGTGTTCATACCTATCCGTTCTCTATTAAAACAAAACAAAACAAAATTGTACTTTTTATAATACTATTGGTGATTACAACTTTGATGTCAAAACTTATGTAAGGTGCGATTGTTACGTAAATTGTTACATGGGTACCGGTACGTTATTACTTTTGCAGTGTTTTGACATTAGTTGAAACATTCTTGTCCAATTAATATTACTTTCAGGACAAACTGTTATTCTATGAATGAAGGTGTATCTAAACACAATCTATCGGTACTGCTTGATAACCATCCAATGTTCTTGAAGCTGCAGTATGTCACATTAGGGTGATACAAAAGGTTTCTGGTCATTTATTTACAAAGTACGTGGAATCAACCCAAGTAAGTACCATGCAGGAAATGGAGGTGCCAAACTATGACGCCTTAATAGTGCGTTATTCACAGCTGTCAGTCATGTTTGTTTACATCCTGGTTGGTTTTGGTGTTGGTGTGGTCTGTTTTAGTGTCAGCCATGGGTGTAAGAAATGTGAGATAATTGCACAAATATATTGAAAAGTGGAAGTAAATTAAAATCACACATTTTTCAATTAAAACATTATTGCCCCTTCAAAATCACCAGCATCTGTATTTTACAGGGCAGATGATTAATTAGAAGATTGTATAATGACACTTTAGCGGTGTATGATGGCAATTCTAGTAGTCTTGTAATAATTATAACATCCACATGATTCCTGAGCCATAACGTGTGCAAATCACAATGACTTTGTCATAACCTAGGATGAAATGCAGCTTAAGCTCTTATCTTAACAAATTTTAGCTGGTTATCAAGCCAACTAACCTCATTCATTCATCTACAGTGTGTCCAGTAGCAGGCTACGTCAGTTTTAACGGAGTTTGCTACAAGGACTTTGCTGAGTTAAAGACGTACGACGAGGCCAGACAGACGTGTGCCGCAGACGGGGGACTGCTGGCCATGCCGAAGGACGACGCGACCAACACCTTCATCCACAACCTGGGAGGAGGAGCTGGAATACGCTGGATCGGGCTGACTGACCTCGGGAACGAAGGCCAGTTTGTGTATGAAGACGGCCAAAGCCTTGCGTCATCCGGCTACTCTAACTGGCATCCCGGTGAGCCGAACGACGCCCACCAGGGCGAACACTGCGTCATGATGTTTGACACCACGCACGGCTGGAATGACGCAACCTGCAGCCTCGCCAGGGGATTCATCTGTCAGCTAGGTATGTGTTACCATTGCACACCCTAGCGGGTTTGTAAGGTTTTGTTTCCAGTGCCAAATTCACCCTCTTGGTGCAGTCTTTGGAGAATGAGTCCTCTGAAACAGTCCTTGGAGTTTTAAAATGTCCAATCAAGGTGTTTGTTAGCTATTTCTCTGGGTGAACAGGGATTGGTCAGTTACCACGAGAGACGATTCTAGTGTCTGAAATAAAACGAAAGGGGGTCCAAGATCAGCGATGATTGGTCAAATTAGGTCACATGAAGGTGGGAACTCTGATAAGTCTAATTTTCCCGTTGGTCTGTACATCCCTAGCTTTTGGGAAACCACCAGTCACTATCAGGATCCAGCCCCAACAAGTCCTCGCTCCTAGATCCTTATTGGTTGGGGTGAGACGCCTTGATTCTAAAAAACATTTTACCTCACGTGTATGTCCAACTCTGTTGAACTAGGTTAACAGTGGTGGCCCCCTGGAATGACTGAATGGGCGAATGCTGGCTGGAGTGGCAATCTGTGGGATTTGCGGTGCTGAACCAGACGCGTACATAGGCACATCTTATGACGATATGGCAAACACAAACACATCTTATAACGATATGAAATATGGACATTCGACCATTGCAAATAAGTAAACTTCAAACTGCTATTGCAATTTGTGGGAAATAATAATTGAAACAAATACTTGACGAGGCCAGATGAAGCATGGCATAACTAAAAGAATCTACTCATTCAAGGAAAACTCAACTCCAGAAGGCATTTTATCCAATACGGCATTGTTATGAACACAAATAAACAAGCAAAACAATTCAGCGAATACCTAGGAGCTCCAACATTTCATTAAAGATCATCCCCAGATTTTTTAAGATCACCTCCACTTTTCTGAGGGATGACGGAGTGGAGTCTTTAACTTTTAAACAGAACTGATAGCATAAGCAATATCAACTCAACCTTAGTGAGTATCACGTATACAGAACAACAACAGTGGATGAATAGAACAAAACATTAATTATTTACCACAGCATATTTGTCAATTATGTCTGATAAAAAAGATAACGTAGCCATGCTAACTTTCCAAGTGCCTAGTACTATCACATTTACAGCCACATCATAATCAAGGGCATTTAGTATGAATGCGATCTTATTAGATCTTACTAGCACCAGTTATGTACTTAAAAAGTATATTAAAAACATCTTAAATAGCGTATCAATTAACTGATATGAAGTTAATAACTTAAGGAATTAAGAAGAGGTGAAGGTTAACGTTTTATGATTCATTCTAAATTTTGTCTTTTGAGCCTTTGCTGTTGACACGGTAGTTGCTACTTTATGGGAACTTGCTTCTGTACATGTCTTAGATAATAAAATGGTAATTACCAAAAAATACATGTCTGCCTGGATTTCTGAATGAAAAAATTGAAATAATTACTGTAGTGGTCCTGGGGAAGGGGCGAAAGTACTGTCTATGTCTATCCGTGTAATTTCGTGTGATTTCAGATTAGTTTATTTTGAACGGGTGGTAATTCAAAACACACCATGTGTTGTTAGGACAAGGGTATCGATAGATCACCACAGGACGGAGGGATATCTCTGTGCCGATATAAAGATGTTGTCTTGTCAGTTGTAACGTTATGTTATACATGGAAATGATACATGTATACACGTAATACACGTAATTATTGCACGACGAATTTGTGTCTTTGTGCTACCGTATCGTCTCGACCGCGAATTTAAAACACCGTGAAAACCTTCTTCCCGCTCCTACTGCCAAAATACATCAAGTTACAGTAGCATACCTGTAATCGGCAGTCTTTTTTATCGTAGAGATTAGAGATAGAGTAACAATGAACGTCAACGTTGTACATGTACTTTGTAACACCAGCAGCGTGAATCACAGCTATCTGATTGAAATGGTTCTTTACAATGCGGAATTGCCAAATTCCATACCGTGAATTGAATGCATGGACACCATTGTGCAGTATAATCACACATGCAGAGCCAAATATCGATTTAGAGCCGTATTTTGGACAAACATTGCCTCTGCCTACAACAATAAAACCATATTTTGTACGCGCCAGAGCGGAGTTAATGTAAATATCAAATGATGTCTACAGACAAGCAGAATTCGCTAATCTTGGTGTATCAAAAACAGTGCATCCGTCTGTATGTTTCTGACGAAAACAACTCTCTGGACGAAAACAACTCTCATGTTATCCTCGAATGACCCTACTTGATAATTTGTCCTAGCACTCGAGCATCTAAATACTAGTATCTTGAAATACTACTTCATCCATGATGGAACTTTTATCCATTACCACTATCAAGTTGTATCGATAACTATGCACCTACATTGGAATGATACTACCGTAGGTCAGCAACGCATGCAATCTAGTCCACAATTTCAGCAGTCTTAGAGAGATGGAGGGAGGGCAACACTAAACTTTGTACTTCGTAACACTCAGTGAAGCGTACATGCGACCACAGATACCTGTTGGTTAAGATATGGCTATGGTACAGACAGGAAAAATTGAAGACACCAAATGTATGTATGAATGTCGTCAAATATCAATTTTTTGGTATATTTCATTGTAATAAAAGCTGTCAGACGGATACGTTTACGTTGATATTTGCTGCCTCTCTACTATTAGAACTGTTTATTGGGTTGATCCTGCTTACTATCGGGCATGCGCAGGTCAGTTCTGATCTGTATGTCCAATTTATGTATCCATTGATTAAGTCTAGTATTATGTTAATAACTTATAATAATATCAAGATGTGATGGTCAGTTACGAGATTAAATAGACTAAAGATAAACATATATTCAATATCTATCTTAAATTATGTATCCTTTAATTCTAGTATTATGTTTAACTTGATAACTTGTAAAATGTAATGGTTTTATTCTTCATTTTAAATTTCATTTTCTGTGCTACATTCCTGGCATGATAGTTACTACTTTGTGGCAACTTGCTACTGTCTTAGTTAATAAAATGGTTATTACTTACCACAAACAGCATGTCTGCCTGGTTTTCTACATATACACCGCGACTTCTATCACTTCATTTCTTAATGTCCCAAGACATCATATTTACATATGCGAATGGATAGTATCATCACGTCTTTATTGATGATTTCATGAGAAAATTCACCGTCCAAGACATGATTACGACAGCTCATGAGGGACACAGAAGCAAGCATTGGTCGAAAGACAGGCTTTAATGAAATGGCATATGGAACTCTGAATAACCCTCCCTATATTACTTCGTGCTTAGAAAAGACACACGTCTACACAACAGGGAGTGGTGAGTGCTTGCGAGAGACATTTGGGAGGGGTTTGCTATGTCCTGCCAGACGTGTAGCATTCGGAACGCAGAGCATGTAGGGACCTAGTGAGCGAGAACGCCCTCCAGCCCGTGCAATCCCGAAGGATTCCGCCAGAGGACACGCCAATGCCAATTGCAATTACTAGTGCTTACTTTGAAGAACGCTCGCCTATTGCATAGTATTGGACCCTCGCTAGCCCCGTAACATTTTGGATAAGCATCTCGAGATCTCATCTCTTTCCAATAAAAGACGGACTTGCTTCAATAAAATCCATACCATGCGATTTGGTATGAGAATCCAACGCATCCAATAAAAACACTGTGAAAGCGGGCGCTTTTTGTCCAGATCCGTAACCACCGATGTCACGGCATCAGTGAGGAGGTTTCGGGTAAAAACAATCTGCATGACGGTTCGTCCGCTGATGTTTTTGTTGTTGTTTATCTACTTTGTTCTTTATGATTTCCCACACCAATTCTTACGTTTTGTATAAGATTCAGACTGTAGATTGTAGCTAGCTGATCATCCGCAGATTGCTGATCGGAATCAATCCGACACCGACCATTACCAACTCGGCCCATCGCAAAACTGGTCAACTCGGCCCACGGCCTTGGAGAGATCGGCCCAACGTAACCACCAAATCGACTCAATGTACAGCAACATAGCATCTTCATGGCCCGAATCTTAACTATTTTTCTCTCATTTCGAAGTCTTCATGTGTTCCGTTGCTGATCCATCCCGTTTTGCTAGAAGCCTCCGCGAGCTCTTTGCCGAGCTGCGGTCCCGGCGGAGCACACTTCAAAGTGAAGCCTGTGATTACCTGTGCGTTTATTTAAATGCCCTAATCTACCATCGCCCACTCTTATCGACTCAACAGTGCAATCTGCTTCATCATCGGCCATTTTCTGGCGCCACCGGATCTTTTCTTTACAACTAACGTCAGAGGGATACAACCTCCTTCCCTCCAGCCTCAATTGAACAACGTAAAACAAACATTCTTCATCACAGGAACGGTTGCTACAGTACGGTTTGGTGGTGCACTGTATTGAGCAACGGTATGTGTTAATGAACCTGTCATAGACGTAACAGAAGTATAAACGTCACCGTTCAGGTGACATTAACATTTTTCCGGGAGTAACGTGTACCCTTTGCAGTATAATTATCAACATAAGAGCTCAGTATTGTGGCCACCTCTATAAAAATTCAATTGAAGATAAGAGCCTAAAATAACCCTGGGTTCAACTTCAAAGCCTCAGAAAACCCAAACCAATTGGACGGATGACTCTTCTAGAGCTAGGTGCTCTGGGAGGTGGAATTCTTTAATAAAAAAGGACCTTTTTACTCTGCGATTTGCATGTTTCAGTATCTTTTCGAATTTTCTTGCCACGACGTTACGTAGCAACGGATGAGTAACCGATTAACTCTGCAAGCAGATTGGGGTTTGTCTTATTTTTGGCGTGTTTTAAGCTTTCTATCGGGCTTTCTTTTTTTAGTATCTTTTTTACGTTGGGATGACACAAAGATATACCAGTCTAAAAAAGAAAGCCCGATAAAAAAGCCTACAACCAAGCCAAAAAAGCTTGGAGAGTGACCGATGTGAACGCCCTGTAATGTATTTCTCCAGACCGTAATGGCAACAGGTGGCTTCAAATCCAAGAAGATTAATTGTTGTCACTGACAGTCAATTACCTCCAGGAACAGACGATAAATGAAGCAGATGTCCCAGAAATGTCCGAGTCATCGCCCAGGGAACTTTGTGCAATATTACCAGACCTTATCGCGTCGCTCAGAGAGGGAAATGGTGTGGTTTCTATTTTGTATAGACGATGCCTGTGTCATTATCTGGTGCAGATCGTACGTTCAGGAGATCACGTAGGCCAGATAAAAGCTTGAACTGTAATTTGTAAGAAGCAAACGTCCCCTGTAGTGGGCCATATACTTTCAAACTTTGGAAAAGCAACACTAAGGACCTACTGGATGTATGGAGACGATGGACCACCGATATTGTATTTGTATAAGTCATGACGAATTGAAAAATTGAGTATGATCCGTGAGGTAAAGGTATTATTTGAAGACAGCAGTACCGACATCAAAACTTACAAAATACTCTTCATTATCATTGAATTTCGTTTGAATTACTAATGGCTGGATGGCTGGATGGATGGCTGGATGGATGGCTGGATGGATGGCTGGATGGATGGATGGATGGATGGCTGGCTGGCTG